TACTTTTCTTGGAAATCTCTTCTGTTTTGATCGAGAAGAGGAGTATGGAGTTGTTTCCAAGGAGGCACGGGCGCTCCGCTGATTTCTCCTATGTAAAAATAACACAAAAAAACAAAAAATAAAAACTCACTTCTCAAATCTTATTTATTCTTGGCCCGACCGTAACATTTCTATTTCTTTCCTTTAAAAAAAATGGGATGGTCTCAAGTATTCATGGATTCAAATATTTTTTTATATGTTTTTGGAACAAAGTATAAATAAGAAAAAAAAACAAGAAATTTGTTTTCGTTGGCTTAAAAATTTTTCTAAAAAAATGAGAAACAAGAAATGTCTCAATTCACAAACTTTTTAATTAAAAACCCTCTTTAAAATTTTAACTAAACACCATGGATTTAAAAATAAAATTAACAACAATATATTTTAGTCTACTTTCAAAAGTACGTAAAATTTAGAAAATAAATTAAAAATTTTACCCTCTCTTAAGGATATTATATTCTGTAAAATTTGAAAATTATTTTAAGTATCAAAGATTATTGTTAGTTACATTAAACATTATCCATTAAGAAAGACAAAATTGAGACTTCTCATAGGGACTGAATTGAAAAACTCTCGTACATATCATTTTAATATTTTATTTGTTTATTGAATATTGTTGTGTTCTTTCTATATATCTTTTTCACCCGTCCCATCAAACAATTAATTTAAAGGTCAACAAACCAGAATCGACAAAGTTTTTATTATTCTTATTTAAGATATTTTTCGTTGGAAGGATTGAGAGATCATGAGAAAACTAATTTTAGTATTTATCACAAGGGAGTTTTGCATTAATAATGTTATTTTCACTGAAAATAAGAAACAAAATTGAAATGGTCAATCAAATATATCCTAGAAAAGGATAGGCGATTAAAATAATATTTTAGGGACCCATAGTTTTTTTTTGTAACCATCATACGTGGTCCAAACGAATTAGGGTTAATTAATAGAGAATAGATTTAGTAATTCATGTGTTTTTGGGCACCAAATATTATAGAATCAGACGGTTGTCCCGTAACATAAGTCGAGATGTGCGTAAATTGGTCCGAGCACTCGCTGATATAATAAAAAAAGAAAAAAAAACCAATTTTTTTTTTTGGCATGTTGAGGGAGGTGGGAGGTTAGTATGTGGCCATTATCAGATACATTCACCATAATTACGCAATCCTTGCCACGTGGCGGACCTACAAGCCTCTCCTCACATCTGTAATTGGAGAGCTGCCCGTCATTTTCTACTGCTTGTTCTCCGGTTTTTTGTCTCCTCGTCAACCCCCGGTAACACTAGCAAAACCCATTATTCACTTTCCAAAATCCACTTTTTAACCCAACAACATTTGATGCTTTGTGTTCAATCACAGAGATGGAGATATATAGGCAATATAATAGGGAAGTGATATTCAATTTTCTCAATTTAATGAAGTTTTATTTCAAAATATAAAATGAGAGTGAAAACAAACCCTAATCTTCCCCATTGAATACATGTGGGAAACTTGATATAGTACAAAACAACGATACATGGTGCATGCATATAGATTACCTTCGTTGTCACGTTTATGCATTGTGAAAGTGGTGTTTGCGCGGTTTCCATTACGAAAATTATGGAGACTAAATGAGGTGTTGGATACCATGCAATGTCTACACAATACACGAGTGGAGCTTTTAGGTTTTTTTTTTTTTTTTTTTATAAAAAATACCAAATCAATTCATTCAGAAAGGTATGAGAGAAATATACAAAGAATACAAGAGGGAGGCTAGATAAATGCACTCCAAAGGAAAGTAATTGTAAAGATACCGTAATTCCAAGATGTTGGATTTTTAGGACCAAGAGAAAACTAAAACCTTTATGTCTTTCTAAAGGAGGGAAGATCCAATTAGATGGACCACAGTAAAGAACCCCAATCGCATTACACCAGAGGGCATTACGACAAATTTTTAAGGGAGGAGATAAAACCTCTTCTAAGTCTTTTTTTTTTTATATCCATGAATGTTCGGGTCAACTTACGCGCACCTCAACTAATCTCACGRGGMAACYGCYTGA